GTTTTTGGTGGTGATCTCTGTTATTTTCCTGTGAACTTACTTTGCAAGGGCAACAGATATACTTAGTCCTTACCATAAAATGATATGGTATACCTACTCAGTTTTGGCTCTGATCAGATCCCTAAAAGGCACTGGGTTCTATGATGCTGTTAAGTAAGAAACATGTGTGTTTGTGGTCATATTTTACCCATCTAAGCTTATTATCATTAGAGATCACACAGTGTTTACAGTGTCAAATGTATTAAGGGTCAGTATAACTCAGGATTTAATGTATTTCTGAATTCCATCAGACATCCCAAGAACTCACCAGCCAATCACAATATAGATAATGCCCTACAGTTCTGATGTGTGAAAAATAAATCATTTCAAAGTAATGGCAGAGGTGTCAAAATAGTGTAATTTCTGCATTGTGATTGGCTAGTGATTGGCTAATATTGGCAGAGTTGCTGGCAAGAAGGCCTCTCAATATTGCTACCTTGCAGTGTGTGTGTGTGTGTGTGAGGGGGGGAGGGATGCACATTGAAAATAGGTAATTATAATACAGAGTACTGCAAAAAGATCAAATGATGTGAAATAACTATATTGGTGAAACCAAGAACTTCCCATGAATGATAATTACAGTTGAAAGGGTAGGGCATAGAGATTGAAATAATTACCACTAGATGCCTCTCCCATCATACAAACAGTCCTTATCCTCAGCCATTCACAAGATACCAACCCTGCAAATGAAGGCATTTTGTCTTCTGCAGTTCAGCAATAGTAAGGACCTCATCAGGCTGACTGGTGGGCGGATGGGCGGGGGAGGGATGGTGAAACAGCGGAAAGCAGAGGGAACTATCTTACACAGTTACCTCCTGTATTTTCCCATCTTCAGGTATATCCAGCCATCCCATGCTTCCCCGTTTTCTCCCTGCTTTCCCCTGCATTTTGCTGCTTGGAGTTGGGTGTTACCTGACTCCTGAAGACAGTCTTCAGGCTCAGTTTTATGTATTTAAGGAAACTGAGTGCTAAAGAGTCCCACCAGAAGTGCCCACACATCATGTGATGGTCTCCACGACACTCCCATATGGCCCCATTTCTTAAGTGCATGAAAATGGAGCCCAAAGACTAAATCAGTAATTATGATGCAGCATGCATTTCGATGGCATTTTGGCATTGATCTTCCAATGACAAAGAACATTCACAGTTGCATAATTGTAACATGTTGCCATCTTGAAATATACTGCTTTGAAATTGCTTCCATCATTTTGAAACTCCCAATAGTGTTGTTCCAGAGTTGCTGAACCATATATCAGGCAGCGATTTGTGGAACTTTTAGCAGATTGCCATGCTTACTTCATCCATAACTTAGTTTACCTAAGGAGATCAAAAATACTTACTTGAACCCACTTCAATTTCAGCAAAATGTGTGAAATTTGATTACTTGGATGTCTTCAGAAAGTACTTTATTGCTAGTTTTAACTTTCATTTTCTAGTTTGTTGTTCCTCTGTGATAACCATCAAAAATTAAAAGAGAATGGTGAATAATAAAGAAACATATCTCCACATATTTCCCTTTCTATTTCCCCTGCTGGATTTGAGGTTCCACTCTTCTCCGGCTTAGTTTTCATACAATATCTATGAATTCCTCCCTCACTTAGGGACCACACAGATGCTGAGTTTTGTGTTATTATTTCAGGAGCACAATGGCATGAGCTTATCCGAAATGGAGGGTCTTTTCATTTTAAGCTCTAACGACCCTTGAGTGAGAATTAAGGAATGAAGAAATACCCTGGGGTTTGATTTCCATTTCAACATTTGCCAATAGTGGCTTGTATTTTGTTCTTTTGATTGTACTGTATGACTGTAAGAATTAGCAATGTTCTGTGCAGATTTGGGGAGATTTTTAAAAACTTAATTGCTAATATTGCTCTGTGGATTTTATACTGATTATCTGTTCTCTGTGCCCTTTGTGATAACAGCTTAAGCAGGCTAATTTTAGGTCTGTATTCTGGAACAATTAAATGAAATGTCAAAAATGTGTCTCAAGATGCAATGATAAATGAATCCTATAAATATATATAGAAATAGCCAATCATGTTTGTACATTTCTTGCACAGTTTAATGATATGCAACAGCTATAACTAATCATATTCTTCAGACCTAAAAGGAATAAGAATCCATCTCTTTTCCTTCTCTGGTTGAAGTCTAACTCCGGTGAATGTAAATGTTAAACATTTGAGGTTATAGCAATCTGCCCTGTCAACCTGGTGTCATGAAACTTTTAACACCTCTGAGCTTTTGCAGTAACGATGTCTGCATAAACATACAATAAGTTGCATATTCCACTTCACCCATTTAGCATGGAAATCGAAGGAAACCTGAATTAATATTTTATTCACAGGTTATTTGTCAAGAATCAGATCAATTTTGTATATCGGCAGTCCACAAGCCTGATTCCCCAAACCTTCAGAAGAACAAGAATGATTTTTTTTTTTGTGTCAGGAGTGACTTGAGAAACTGTAAGTCGCTTCTGGTGTGAGAGAATAGGCTGTCTGCAAGGACGTTGCCTGGGGGATGCCCAGATGTTTCGATGTTTTATCATCCTTGTGGGAGGCTTCTCTTATGTCTCCACATGGGGAGCTGGAGCTGACAGAGGGAGCTCATCCCTGCTCTCCCTAGATTCGAACCTCCAACCTGTCGGTCTTCAGTCCTGCTGGCACAAAGGTTTAACCCACTGCATCATCGGGGGCTCCATAATAGTGATAACATAATTATTTAAAAGAACATTATTCTGGACCAGAATGCATAGGGATCTTGTAGCAATTTTGAGACTAACTGAAAGAAGATGATGGTAACATAAGCCTTCATAACTTAAAGTTTACTAATAAAGTTAAGTATATCTCATATGAAATATGAATTGTTTATAAATATTGTTTTCTGTTCAGGAAATGTGATTTTATATATCGGGAATACCTTTTCCTGTTTAGAAACTGCTGTTTTGAGTCCAAAACAGACATGTGCAAATTTTGTACAGAAGAAGCCCCAAACTGTAAATAAGATTTGAAAATTGCATGGTTTTTAGAGACTTCCTTGCAATGGGAAGAAATTTTTTAAAATTATTTGTTGCTTGCTTTGAGAAGAAGCTTAGGGCCCTTCCACACAGGCATATAACCCAGAATATCAAGGCTGGAAATCCCACAGTATTTGCTTTGAACTGGAATATATGGCAGTGTGGACTCAGATAACCCAGTTGAAAGCAGATGTTGTGGGATTTCCTGGCTTGATATTCTGGGTTATATGGCTGTGTGGAAGGGCCTTAGTGAAGAATGACATATTTAATTCTGGGACATATCCTTTGCATCAGCAGAACTGCAGGGTTGTATTCTTTTGTGCATTTATGAACAAAGCTAGCACATCTGCTTTAATTTAAGCCTTGATTGTAGCTTCTTAACAGTGACCTAAAAAGGATATTTCTCTTGGCTTGGGGTAAGTAGAAAATGTGGGGTTTTTTTTGTTTTTTTAGTATGCATCAGTGTCATGAAACCTTTACTTTGCATATTTTAATTTGATGGAAAGTGAGCTTTTCACAGATTGGTGAGAATTTGCAAGTCATTAAAATCTAAGTAGGTTTCAATATGATTAATTGTTTTTCAAAATTTAAATCCAATGAAGGCAGCCTTCTTAGGCTTGAATGGCTGCATTTGTCACTTTGGGACCTTTAGGAGGTTTGCATTTTTCTCCTGATACCAAAATTAGTGCTATGATAAAGTTGTGTCACAAACCCCAGGGATTTTGGTGGGGTCCTGGTGAGGCAGGAGCAGGCACATGGTTCACATTGGAATTAAATTGCTGACAATATGTCAAACAATTCCAGAGAAACAGGGCGTGCTTCCCATTAAAATTACTGAGTTTTCCATGAGCACCTGTGCCTTGGGGAGGAGGGAACACTTGGGTCTGGAAAATGCCCTAAAGATACGAACTGGACATCTTCCTTTGAACTCAACAAATTATTATTTGAGCAGAGTATGCGTAAGTGCTGTACTATTTTTTTCTAAGCTATAGGAAAGTTCAACATGTAGCATTGATAAAGTAGAGAAATAGTTCATCTTTTGTGAGCAACAAATAACTACTAATCTCTTTTGTGCAAGGTGTGGATTGCCCATTTACTGTTTCCAATCTCTGCTCCCCTTCCCATCGATCTTTCTATGTTGAAATTGTCAGTTTTATGTGTGCTTATGAACAACATTAGGCGAAATCTTACTATGTGTCTTACAACACATTACACTGACCCTTGAGTTGGTGCTGATTTGGCTTGCTGCATACTGGATAATCACCAAGAAGACTTCATATAGGGACTCCCTCAGCTGCAATGGAGGAGGGATGGAATCCCCACCATCCAGCAACACTGAGCATGGTTCAGTGCTGTGGGGCAGTCATGCTCTGTGTTCCCTTTTGCCCCCCCCCCATGTCCCCAGGCTTGACATGCCACCTACCTTTTCCATGTCACTAGCTCTGACATCAGCTCTGACATCAGACTCCGAGGGGGTGAGGAGAAGAGGAAATCTCCCCTCTTTTCCCATCCCTCTGGCTCATCTTCAGAGCAAGTGAAAAGGTAAGTGCTGTGTCATGGCCAGAGATAACTGCAACATGGGGGTTGAGGGGGAAAGGGGACTGCCATCCCAGGTCTCTGGGGACATGAGATGACATGAACATGGCAGTTGGGACAGTTGCAGCTGATTCTGGTTGGGAACAATTCTAATTGTTCTCTAAGGTAGCCTTGCCTTTTATTACCATAGCTCAGCCACATGCACCATGTAGTCACTGTGGGGCTGATCCAAATTTATACCAACCTAAGTAGTCAGTTTAGATGGGGCCTTGATGAAAACTGACTTCAAAACTGACTTTGTAATAAAATGTAATGCGAGTTAAGATAGATTATGCTGTTTGTTACATTATCATCCTGTTTTTCATTTTTTATTATCTAGCTCTAATATTTCCTCCCCCTTTTGTCTCTGCAGTTCATTGCTTTTGCCTCTTTATTCTTCATCCTACTTTCAATCACAACGTTTTGCCTGGAAACCCATGAAGCGTTCAATACCATCAAGAACAAAACAGAGCCAACTATCAATGGTTCCGAGGTAGTTCTACAGTATGAAATAGAGACGGATCCTGCTCTGACATATGTTGAAGGAGTCTGCGTGGTGTGGTTTACTTTTGAATTTTTAGTTCGTGTTGTTTTTTCACCCAACAAACTTGAATTCATCAAGAACCTCTTGAATATCATTGACTTCGTGGCAATTTTGCCCTTCTATCTTGAGGTGGGCCTCAGTGGGCTCTCCTCCAAAGCTGCTAAGGATGTCCTCGGTTTCCTCAGGGTGGTGAGGTTTGTGAGAATCCTGCGAATCTTCAAGCTCACCCGACATTTTGTCGGCCTCAGGGTACTGGGTCACACCCTCCGAGCCAGCACTAATGAGTTTTTGCTTCTGATAATCTTTTTGGCATTAGGAGTGTTGATATTTGCCACCATGATCTATTATGCAGAACGAATAGGTGCCAGACCCAATGACCCATCAGCTAGTGCACACACAGAGTTCAAGAACATTCCTATTGGTTTCTGGTGGGCTGTGGTCACAATGACCACTCTTGGGTATGGAGACATGTATCCAAAGACTTGGTCAGGCATGCTAGTAGGTGCGCTGTGTGCTTTAGCAGGGGTACTTACCATAGCCATGCCCGTGCCTGTTATTGTCAACAATTTTGGAATGTACTATTCTTTGGCTATGGCAAAACAGAAGCTTCCTAGAAAGAGAAAGAAGCATATCCCACCTGCTCCTCAGGCAAGCTCCCCTATATTTTGCAAGACAGACTTGAACATGGCCTGCAATAGCACACAGGGGGATGTTTGTCTAGGCAAAGACAATCGACTGATGGAACACAATAAGTCAGGTAGGACACAGTCCCAAATGCATGTCTGGTATGTCTGGCAGTATAAAGCATCAGAAAGCATCTAATCTTTCTGCAGTTAGAGAAGATAGATCACATACCTCTCCCCTCACCCGCTGTCCGTTTATGTCAGTCTTGTAGATGACATGATAGTTGAAGCATAAGAATAATGTTCCCACGTCTGTTCATTGCTGGATCTTTAGTGTTTGCTAGCTGTATATTGTGACTGCTGAGCTGCCTTTAATTTTTCTTCCTCATTATTTTGCTTTATTGGTGATATTTACTCTTTTTTTTACTTTTGCGCTGTACAACTGTTTTGCTTTCTTCCTTGCATGGTTGTGACTTTATTGTTGTGCTTTCATTTCGTTGATGTTCATGCTGTTTTGCGTGGTCTGCTTTGTCTCTTTGATCTGCTTTGCCTTTGCCACATGGTGGCCTGAAATTCAAGAAGCAATATAAGCATTCATCTAAACATGGATGGTTAATTTAGCCTTGCATTCAGTGCAACGTGTAACAGATGTGTGCTTTCTAGATCACAGGAATAGCATTTTTTTCTAGATAGAATGCAATATAGCTGACCTAAAACATCAGACAGTAATTGTTGTTTTGTGTTTGGAATAACATTTACTGATTGTGTAATAGCAGCACTGTTTACAGATTTTCCCATAATTTTGTTTACTTTTTCTTCACATTTAACACTATCATCCTGAACCTTAGGAAAAAATGCTGCTTAGGAAATCCGTAACCTGAAAAAGTTAGTTTTATGGATTATAAGTTCCAGATTTTCCCAGGTAGCATGCTGCATGGGACATCCAAAGAGTTATAATTCAAAATAACTGTCTCAAATTCTGATTAAAGTAAGGCCCTTAATTTGGAGGACTTACCAAATTAGGATACATACAAGATGCTATCCCTTCTTCAGGCTGGCGTGATATTTTAATCCACTAGTCACACTTTGCTTGAGAATTCACTTGGCTCTAGACCTAAAAAAAATGCATTTACAACATTTTCACGTGAACATTTATAAACAGTGCCCCTATATTTCAGCCACTTACTTTGCATATGTTTTCATCATATTGTAGGCGATTGTTTATAGCTGAGTATGATTGTCTTCCAAGGGTACATTATGAAAAACCATGTGGATCCTGAATAGGTCTCTGCAGCACATGTTTTATTAAAGGAAAGAACTAGCATTTATGGTCACACAACAATTGTGTTGATTATAAATATTATGCAAAGAAATAACAGATAAAGAGGGCTGGTTGATAACAGATGTTCCACTCTGTGTGACCACATATTTTCTATTTTTTTTTAATATTTGGGTGGAATATTTTTCATTCACCCTCAAAAATACTCCTGCGATATGGGGCCATTTTTTTTTACATCTTATAATACTTCGAAATTCTCTTTAGGATCCCATCAGTCATTCAAAATATCCCACAATGAATCACTTCATGCAATTTAAAAAATCTGCTTGGATTAGTGTTAACTTCAAACCGAAATGCCCCTTCATATATTTTGCTTCCAGTCTTTGCTTCTATCTGTCCAGGTATTGGGCTGTGAGGCACATACTACTAAAGTACAGTATAAGGAATTTATAGGCTAGATGTAGCAACATTGATATGAGTTTAAACTTAGTCTAAATCCAACTCCTAACTAGTCATCACACTAGAGAATGAATCCACTTTAAATCCAGTTTCTGCCTCCTGCAGAATTCTAGGGTTTGTTGTTGAGTGAGGCTGCTGAAGGCTCTCCCCTAAACTACCAGAATTCTGCAGGAGATAGCAATCAGATTTAAAGTGTATTCATTCTCTAGTGTGATGAGGTCCCTAGTCCAAACAGAGTAAATCCTCAGTTTCAACAGCCAAATGGTATGCCAGCATTTATGGAAATTGCATTGACTGAGTGGGTCTACTTTTGTTGGAATTGGCAATTTAATTTATGCCCTAAATTTCAAAAGTTTTCATAATTACATCAATTGCCTACATACCTATTTAGAAACAAGCCCAGAGAGATCAATGGATTTTTCTCTCAGCTAAATGTCAATAGAATTGTGATCTTCAATTATAAATTATTTAATGATTGACAAATCTAAAATATTGAAGTCCTAATGTTGGGGAGAGAAAGAACAAAAAGTAGTCTGCTTCTAGTACCACTGATTTATCCTTTAAAGAAAAAATAAATACCTGTTCTCTGATTCTTGTGATTCTACTGCTACCAAGTTTCAATGTTATCTATTTTAAAACAGTGTATTCCCCAGGAAATAACTAATTGTAAGTGTTTAGAGGTTTTTTGAGGGGGACATACTTGTTTTTTGTTTCAAATACTAAATTTGAAAATAAAAAAAAACTATCTTGAAACATATTTTGTTCAGTGGACAGTATATATTAATCCCTTCAGTACCTAGCTGGTACTTGGTAAAATAACATTCAGAATGAAAACTTACTTTTTGCTTTTATTCAAACTCTTTTTAGGCATTGACAGGTGAAGATATAATGAGTCTGATGCCATATCCAGTTGTTGGCTTACGTGATTCAATTGTGCTTCTGATTGAGCAATTAGAAAAATAGAAATAGATTATTACATTAGAAAATATAAACAAATAAGATTGAGCAATTGTGCCTCCCCCCCCAATGTATTTATATTTTAGGGAATAATAGTAGTTGTTCAAATTGATCTGAATTCTGAAATATAAAAATGAGGATCCACTTCTTTCAAAAAGAAAGTTAACCAATACGTGAATATCTTAAACAAGAGAGAAGACATTCTAATAAACACCTTATCTTCTAGAGCAGGGGTCCTCAAACTAAGGCCCGGGGGCCAGATGCGGCTCTCCAAGGTCTTTTACCCTCCCTCGCTCAGGGTCAACCTAAGTCTGAAATGACTTGAAAGCACACAACAACAACAACAACCCTACTCATCAGCCAAAAGCAGGCCCACACTTCCTATTGAAATACTAATAAGTTTATATTTGTTAAAATTGTTTTTCATTTTAATTATTGTATTGTTTTTAAGTGGTTTTGTACCACAAATAAGATATGTGCAGTGTGCATAGGAATTCATTCATTTTTTTTCCAAATTATAATCCAGCCCTCCAACAGTTTGAGGGACTGTGAGCTGGCCCTCTGTTTAAAAAGTTTGAGGACCCCTGTTCTAGAGCAAAGCTGATTAGTTTTTGTGCTAGTGAGCCTTTAGAAAGACAAAGAACTTGCTTGAAGGCCAAGTAACACATTGTGCTAATCATGTGATTAGCCTTTGAGTTCAGTGTTTGAAAAATAACTAGCATAGAGAGTAACCCAAGTTGGGCCCTCGAATGGAAGGGAAAGCTCATTGTTTTCTAATGTGCTTTCAGTCTGGATTTTACTTAAGGAAAATCTATCTGAATTTCACACAAGGAAAAATGCTTCAGTTGAAGTAAATGAGCTGGCTAAGGACAAGATTAAATACACACAGAACCATGGAGATCATATAGGATTTCATGCTGTGTAGATGATATCTGACTATGCAGTGTTATGAAACAAACTAGAAAAGCCATTGATATACTAATTTACACCAGGTCTTCATCCCAAGACAAATGCATCCCATAAACCATTCATGATGGCCTGATATTTATCAGATAAGAAATTGGAAGTGCTATTAAGCTCTTAGCAGATCATTGTCATAGCTCATGGGGTACAGAGGGAATTGTGAATTATAATCCCTAATCAAGCACATCCACATACAAGCATGTTAGGACTTCATCACATTAAAACTGAAATTCGCCATGCATCATGGCGAATCTGGTGCAGCCCGGCATGGGGAATCTTTTCCTCCATGCCCTACATTGCCTGGCTTTCCCCTCACCTCATCCCACAGAGGGAAGTGGCTGCCACCCAGCTTCCCCCCATTATTGCCTATTCAACACAGGAAGCCTCCCAGGTTACTGTGGTGGTGGCTTACGATGCTCCCTCTTCACCTGCACCACAGAGTCCCGCTGAAAGTAGATCTACATTGTGGGATGTGAGTTGGTGAGCTACATGCCACAAGTGATGAGGGAGTGTCATATAATGGGAAATTTTGCCAATCTGATGAAGAAAGTAAGGCCAGCTTTTTCTATTAGGCAGTTGTAGCTGTCCCAGGTAAACAGATACTAGAGTATGTGGCAAGTCTTAAAAGGATAAAGCTGTGTGTCCTACATGACTTCTATTGTGTCCCTTGTATTAACTAGCTTTTTTCCATTCAGTGGAAGCCAACATCAAAGGAATACTTAAATGTCAATCAAATTGGTTTCATACTTGAAAGGCAGGTAGATTGCAGTCTTGTCCTTTGCTTCAGGCACCAGCATGTTTTGATCTGAGGTTCTAACATGTTCTTATACCTTGCATGGAAGGGGGAACAAGTGTAGCCTTCCAAATGTCATGGGATTGTAGCTCCCAGCAACCCTAGGACAGCATGGCAAAAGGTGAAGAATGGTGGGACATGTGGTTTAAGAACATCTGGGATGGGGTTACACAATGTCCATCTCTCTGCTAACTCATTAGAACTTCATTAAGTATAGTTAGTATACACTTTGGGCCAATATTGTTACTGCTGAATTCATTCTTAGTAGTGCAAATGTAAAAACAATCTGAAATTAAAGATTTATTATTTACCTCCCTCACCCATGTTGCTGCTGGTGGTGGTGGTGATGCTGATGCTGATGGGACTTATCTTCATCATTGCTATCGTCATCATCATCATCACCATCATCACCATCATCACAATCACCATCACCTCTAGCCACAAAATCAGAACTTCTTTTTAAATAGTGAAAACTTAATGCAATAAATGTAATACAGCATTGAACTTGGCAGCATTCTACAACAGCAGACATTAACCATAAAACACCTTTCTCTTCTTTACTTATACAGATTTGCAACTATACTATTTTCCTCTAGTAATTAATGCTGAATTGCCATCCCACCCCTATAACATGACCATCTCTTTTCCTGTCTCTCTCTTTCTGTCTCTCTCTTCTGTATTGAGTAATAGGGTATCAGGCAAGTTATTTGTGTTGTTTCATTTTCTTGCTGGCTACATGATGTAAATGGGCATGGTGCTTTAACCAGTGTTATCAGGTGAAGACAGTACAGAAAGTGAGCAGCCACTGTCACCTGTGGAAAGGCTCCCACCAATCAGACGCTCTAGTACCAGAGACAAAAACAGAAGAGGGGGAACATGTTTCCTACTGACAGCAAGTGATTACGCGTGTGCTACTGATGGAGGGATCAGGAAAGGTATGGACTCTTTCATTAGACTATAAAATTTCATTCAGCACTGTTCATCTGAATAAAGAAGCCTGGAATGAAGTAAACATGAAAAAATGTTCTATAGGAAAGACTGTATCAGTCATTGTATGATCCCTTCTTGTCTATTACCCCTCTCTTGCTTCCTTTTAAACAAAAGAAGCCCATCAGTCCACCCAGAAAGATGCCAGTGTTGTTTTTGACAGTTGTTCCATTTGTGATTTCATTTGTCTGTCCCACATGAAGATATATATAATTTAGACCATGTTCATTTAGTCACTTTCATAACAATTTCTTTTAAAATTGCTTCTGAATAGCTTAATGTTCAGTTAATAGCCCATTAATGTAATTTAGTGGTATTTCAGATGCCGATGGCACAGTCATACACAAAGTCTGCAGGTAATAGCCCAAGCCCTGATTTGATAAAATCCAGATACAGGAAAAGATATGTATTTTTGGAAAGTTGTTCAATTGAAAGAAAAGGATTTGATGCTAACAGCACAAGAACCAGGGTAGCTCTGTTCTACAAAGCAGAGTATTGCTCCTGTGTTAAATCTGTACTTTCTTTGGCAAACTATGGAAGTTCAATGACATACACACACACACACACACACATACATACATACATACATACATACATACATACATATATATATACATTCATACCATTGTGTCTGAATTGTTGGTCCTTGACCTAATCAAGATGTCTGCACATGCATTTTTAATTATAGTGATATGTCATCTATAGTTTGAGGGTTTCTGTAGGAAAAAACTAGTGTACATACAGCTATTGTTATGGCAGTTTTGCACCACTCTGTGAGTAAATTGAAAACCGCTTGCCTATATAGTTTGAGTTTCTATCTCATTTCTTTCTATATAACATTTCTAACACAGAGATTTTTTTGTGCAGAAATAATTTGGCAGAAATTGAGGCAGTGATGTTATTAGTACACATCTTTTGTGTTATTAGTGTACATCTTTAGTTGATGTAGTAGTGTTACCAGTATCCATCTTCAGTATTAGATCTTAACATAATAAACATTGAAGATACATTCCTATACAAATTAAAGCAATCCCCACTGACTTCAGTGGGACTTACTCCAAGGTAGATGTGTGTAGAATTGTAGATTAAACATATAGCCTCAATCCTGTACACTGCTACCTAGGAGTAAGTTTTAGTACCTGAGAGTAAGGAGCTAAATGTGTTTCAGAGGGGCTGTCCAAGGTGCTGATCCTTATTCTGGAAATGTTTTCAGTTCCTTGGATAACTCTTGTGAAACCACTACCCTGGATAGGTGATGTAAAACTCACATGGATTCATTACTGCAGAGGTTCTCAACCAATTTACCAGCTGTTCGCATTTTTGGAAGTTGAAGGCCAAAACATCTGGGGACCCACAAGTTGAGAACCACTGCACTACTGTAATGGAATCACTAGTTGTCTTTGGGTAGCAGGCTGAAGTGATAGGCCAATAGGCCAATACAGATGATCATAGTGGATTAAGCTGTATGATTCTCCTTTACACCTCCCTTCCTTTTGTTTTGCTCTATTAAGCAAGACATACTGGGTACATCTCAACTCAGAATCTTAGTTTTAATGTTAATTAACAGAAAGAGTCATAAGCCAGCATCACTATCATGGTAGAAGGGAGAGTGGAGGGAGGAGCATTTGGCACTAATTATCATTTCTGGCTTCATTAGACATGATTTATTTAAACTGCATCAGCATCTGAAAAGAGAGCCTCTGTGAGAACAGGATTCCATGTTACTGAATATCCTTTAATAAGATGTAAATACATATATTCTGCTTGTTTTAGTCTTCTAAATAGTCATATTGTGTTTCTTTCATTAGTACCACTTGGACAAATATAGCACAAATGTTATGTTAATAAATGAAAAGCTACAAATAAATCGTACATTATAATGAATTGCAAATCACTTCAATATTGCAAATACACCACACTACAGCATCACTAGATACAGAATGTCAGATACCTAATAAAAAACTCTGGAGATGAAGAATTTTAATAAGACATAATTCAGTTCTTTCTATTTGTGATTAGAAAATAACTTCATACAATTAGGCAAGCAATATTAAGCAGTTGGATATATTAGAAATTAGACTTGACACCCCCCCCCCACACACACACATACACCCAAATGTTTTTTCATCACTCTTCCTCTGTTCTAAGGAAGAGCCAATACATTATCTAAATGATATTATTGTAACTTTGCTGAGGCCAGGGAAGCTGTATGTAGTAGACGCTATTGTCTTAAACAAAATTATGAAGCACACTGAGTTGTTGTAGGTTTTTTGGATTGTATGGCCATTTCTAGAAGCATTCTCTACTAAGAGGGAATGGTTCTAGAACACGGCCATACAACCCGAAAAACCTACAACAACCCAGTGATTCTGGACATGAAAGCCTTTGACAGTACATCGAAGCACACTGAGTTTATTTAATCTCACTGTTAAGAAGAGCACCACTTAATGTTTTCGCCTGCTGTTAGAAATAGTCATAAAATGTTATCCTGCTAGAACCCAAGGACCATTGTGATTACATTGTATTGTATTATTTGTTTGTTTTATGGTTGAATTCAACTGATGTCTGTGCATTTTCTCATGAAAGGCTATGAAAAATCCAGAAGTTTAAACAACATAGCTGGCATGGCAGGCAATGCCTTGAGACTGTCTCCAGTAACATCACCCTACAGCTCACCTTGTCCTCTAAGACGTTCTCGATCTCCCATCCCATCTATCTTATAAAATAGATGACTTCTATCGGCAACATAACTAAAAGTGAAGTGCTGTTTTTCACCTAATGGAAACAAGTATAACATTAACTGTAGGTTCCACTAAAACAAGTATAGACCATTATATAATGGTCAGTAGCAAGCAATGCTGCTTGGGTAGCTGAAGACCTCAGTTTTGCTTACAAACTCCTAAAATAGTATTTCCCCCAACCTGCTTTTTTCCGACACAGCAATAAAAGGACAGTTAGTAACTTCACTGGCTAGTATAATTAAATAAGCCTATTTTCAGGGATTTGTTTTTAAATCAGTGTGCTTCCAGTTGATAATCACTTCATTGGACCTTCATTTCTTGTGACCCGAACCCATTCTGAAGACATCTGGACTATTGTCTTGATTGCATACAATTTGACTTCAGTCTGATCATTTGCATGGACCATCCTGTCTCCATCATCTGAAATCCGTCTTGCAAATTAACCAGGACCGCAGATGGCTCAGGATTTTGTGGGTTTGTTGTGTTTCTTTTTCTTCTCCCTTCATTGTATCATCTCACTGAAACCACAGCAATGATCAACAGGTCTGCATGCGGGGTTGGGTTGTTTCTTGTTTTTCTTTCCCTTTTTTGGACCTCTTTGATTTATTTTTAACTTGCTTTGTCAATAACGTTACTTCTTGATTTATTAAGTTTGGTACTAGACTAATGTATCAGAGTTCTGAATGTTTCCGGTTGTTTGCACACAGATAACTGCAAAGAGGTTGTCATTACTGGTTACACGCAAGCAGAGGCCAGATCTCTTTCTTAATGGCTTGGGGAAGGCACAAAACATGAAAGAAAGGTAAACACCATCCAGGGTTGGAGTTTTAAGTTAGCAAGTGCTGCTTCGTTCTACAATCCTTTCTCTCCTTCAGGGTTCTTCAACATTTTCAGAGACAGAGTGCCCAGTGAAAGCAAGAACTCTATGGAAGGCTGTCTTTCTTTTTGTTTATGATACCTGGTTTTGTTATAGCTGTAGGAGGGCAATATATTTCCAGAGGGGTTTTTGACCAGCCTCAAACCTCTTAACTCCAAAGCTTTCACAATTTTATTTTTTGCTCTCAATGCTTTCCCTCCGTATGATTCTTGGTCCTATGTGTTGTTTCCGTCTGCCTGCCTGCCTGTCCGGCTTCTTGTCCTGTCCCAATTTCTCATCTGTCTCCATTAAGCACAGTTGCCTTCTTCAGAAATGCTCTCTCCATACAAGATTAGCTGCTAAAAGCATTTCCTTCCTTCCCTCACTTTTTTGATATATGTATCTCTATGCATATTTCAAGAATAATTGTATATCGTTTTAGTGGGCACCTCTTCGACATTTCCCCCGAATGTTGGATTCAGTAGTGGTTTTTATCATTTCAGTAGGGTGGCTGCTTCAATCCCACTCCTTACCAATCTGCATTCATTCTTGTGTTCGGACTTTACTCCCTACACTGCCTTTTTCTTTACAATGAAACAAGATGGCTTTGTTTATGCAACATCATGAATGCAGTCACAAGTAGGATGTTTCGGGCTGGTGAGGAAAAACACCCAACAATATAAAAGCCTTAGAGAAATAGAAGATGGAAAAAAACATAGAGATCCTAGAGATTGTTAAAAAAAAAATCCCTGAATTTTCCATGTTGTGTTTTGTTAGGAAATCGATTTTATTTAACCATGTAATATATTATTCTGTATATAAGATAGCATGAACTGTATGTGAGAATATTCCTGTACAAAATGTATTTATCAGTACTTACATTTCTGATATTTAGAGATGTACATTGATTTAGTTTTTGGTAAAGAGCACTGGAGGACAGATATTAATGTAATTTATAATACTTAGTATGCAAATAGATTCTAGAGCGGGAATTAACATCTGGTGCTGCTGTTATTGGCTACAGTGTTATACCGAATTTATCATGGATTTTTGACTGCTGAAAAAGGGACAATGGAATTTAGCCATACCAAGGATTGTGCTGGAAAGAGACTGCTCCTCCTGAATGGGCCCTGATATTCACCTGCCGCCTTGAAGAGATCCTTCTAATTTCCTATGGAAGTGGAGCTTGTTATGAGGATTAAGGACCAATTCCAGCTTCTGCTGCCAGCAGACACAGTGATTAGTCACTATTGATGAGTCAGCTGTAAATAAGATGTGTGTGCATGGAATATCAGCTTTAGTCATCTATGCCAAGGGATGCTAAACTCAAAAGACATCACCTCCGAGACTCCATGAAAAAAAAAGGCTGACACACCTCTTTGTATATTCTTCTTGGTCCCTACAGTAGGTTCATGCTGTGGATCATAGAAAGGCACACATGTTTGAACAATAGTGATGTAAACGCTGTCTGTCATAGGTTTCCTCATAACAACTGTATTTTTGCAAAGTTTTGTAATGCGTGAACATAAATGGCATAGGGTTTTTGCTACGTCTTTGCACTCTCAGTTTGCCATATCTATATTTTTATGAATACTAGTGAACATGCCTACATTTTTTTGGTTTCCCTTTCACTTGGACATGAGATCTGTGACTGCAAATGAGAAGAGTATAATGCATTCACTAATTTGTCCAGAGATTTCTAGAAAATTTATTTTTCTTTAATTTTTTTGTTCACTTCATTGTTACCTCAACTTATAGATATTGATAAATATAAAATATTGGCAGTAAAATATAATTTTTTATCGAAGCTATCACAGAAGCAGCATCAGTAAATATAAAATATAAAACATAAAATAGATCCTAAAAATGTATATTTTGCATAAGAGAGATATTCTTTACTTTTTTGTGACTTTTGTGGTAAAATTGTTCTAGTCTATTCGACGTCTATGATGCTTTGTAGCCGGGTACTGTGTAATGACTTATGTTCTCTCCATCCTGTTCAGTAAGATCTTCTCCAGAAACTGTTTGTCACCCTGGTATTTTGAATGTAGGGACCTTTCCCACATATGAAACTCTGTGTTGTAGACCTTTTTGTGAACATGTCAAAAGGTGCATGCACAAGCCTGGTGGAAACCAGTGGCCATGTAATGAACAGAAATGGAGAATAAAATGCAGATGATCCGGGGAGGAAGCTGGAACATATCTTACAATGTGACTCTTCTTTATTTCTCCACACAACCGATGAAACAAACCCAGTCTATGAAAACTTATGCCACAAAATTCTTTGCATTCTGACTCAGACTAGCATAACTGTATTTGAATACTAATTTGTGCTATAAAATTACAATGCAATCTTTATACATTCATACCTGCATATTTTCCATTGAGTTAAATAGGGCCAATGAATGGTTGTAAAGTTGGAGCCATATCTCTTCATTCAGATATGTGATGGCCTATCACCAAGGATAGGGCTATCTTATTTAAAGAAGGCATATTTATCAACTAACTATTTCAAACCAGCAATTGCTATGACAACTCTCATTTAAGTACCTATACCGTATAAGCTGTGACAACTGCTGTTAGAAATATTCTTAACCTTCATTGTATTTAAATAACAATTTGCCTTCCCTTTCTCTTTATCTGCCTCTTCTAATAGTTGCCTCACTTTCTCCATCAAGTTGCTCTGTTCCATTAACTCTGTGTGGCTAAAGGATCTCTTAGCAGATCTGCTCAGCAACCTCACCATCACTCTTGAGATTTCCTCCTCTACCAACAAAACTCACTCTGGCTGGATCTATACTGCCATTATATGGTCAATATAGACCCATATAATGCAGTTCAGAATGTGTGATATAGGTCTATACTAACCATATAATGCAGTTCCAGCCCTCCCTGCCAACCTTCACCCCTTTTCTCAATGTAATGGGTAAGGTAACAATGAAAAAGGAGCATACTTAAAATCCACAGACATTTTAAAAATCCATCTAGATAGAACCTTTAGTTCTGAAAAAAAAAAGAATATATCCACACAAAAAAGAGATGAATAGTCATCCAAAACTAGGATAATTCAGACCTCCCTATTGCACACGTATGAGTTTGTGAATACCTGCAAAAATGGTTTATACAAATATGTTTGTTACTCAAATGTTCAAGTGATTTGGGATTTTAATATATGGTAACTTGCAGTCATCCAAGCGGAGGTGGCTGATTTGGAAATGGCAAAAACCTAGCCTTCTTTTCTCATGTGATCTTTGAAGGGGGAAATGTCCCTCCTTAGGAATTTCTTAAACAACCATGCAGATGCATCAAAATGAATTTTATTGAACTAAAGACATTTCTGACTCATACTCTGCCTGGCAGATAGTTGATCAAAGATGAAAGCCCCAAGCCTCTGGACCTCTTTGGGATTTTGAAAATTCAGTTTTTTTATCAAGAGGATCTACAAAAAAGTGCTTTCTGCTTACTGTATACACTCATGTATAAGTTGTGGGCAATTTTGGAGCCCCAGAATTATGGATTTTGATGTGACCTCTGGATGTGTCAAGGGTCATTCTCCAGAGGGGAAAGTGCCGGGGGTGGGGGTAAGTGCTTCTTCCAAATTATTTTGGGAAGGACTAAGCTTTTGTCTTTCACCACTCTACTCAGAGATTGGGATGGTTGTACACAATTGCACAATTCTACTTCCTACAGATGTAAGTCCACTTCTGTTGGGAGTATCCACATTGTAAAATTTATGCAGTCTGACACCACTTTAACTGAAAAGTCTCAATGCTATGGAATCATGGGAGTTGGAGTTTTACTGTTTCTTTAGTCTTTTCTGCCAGATAGTCCTGGTCCCCCACCAAAGTACAACTCTCAGGATTCTATACCATCAAACCATGCCAATCAATGTGGTATCAAACTGCATTGATTCAACAGTGTAGAGCCAGCCAGAGATGTAAGGCTTCAACAGGATTCCAGTGAAAGTTATTAAAAGATGCATTTAATTTACAATTGTAATCGTTAAATTCTGGATAGTGGATAATAATTGTTAAATTCTGGATAGAATTCAAAGAAAAAAAACCAGACACCTGGATAAAACAATAAAATGTTATATTAATTGGCATTCTATTCAATATGAAGGCATGAATTATAAAAGTCATGAATTTATTGTTTATTTATTTCAGACATTTATATCCTGTTCTTCTCACCTCCGGAGGGGACTCAGGGTGGTTTACAACCAGTAACCATTAGATGCCAACAACAATAATAAAACACAGTTAAACATTAATTAAAACATCATAACTTGAAAAGACAATTTAAAAGAGACAAGTCCAAGTCCAGAGTCATAATTCAAAATCCATCCATTGTCAATCACATGATTCCTTTATAATTGTTACTGCTATGACTGCTGCTTGAAAGCTTGGTCCCACAGCCATGATTTCAATTTCTTCCTGAAGGATAGTAGGGGGGAGGGGCTGACCTGATTTTGTTAGGGAGTGTGTTCCACAGATGGGGGACCACCACCGAGAGGGGCCTGTCCCTCGTCCCCACCAGATGCACCTGTGCAGGTGGTAGGATCAAGAGCAGGGCCTTCCCTAGTGATCTTATCCCCTGAGGTGGATCATAGAGGGAGATATGTTCGGACCAGTAAGCTGGGCGAATGCATTAAAATAGGGAGCATTCACATTATTTTCAAAATAAATCATGTCACACCTTTTTTCAATAATGATATAGGAAAAGAAAATGGAAAGTAGGAAAGGAAATGAGCCTCTTAATATGCCTGATTATAGAGCAAGTGATTTCATTAATACTAAGAGACCCAGAGGGAAAAACGGTAAAAATATCTAACTGAAAATTATCGAATTATTAGAGGTATGATTATTTTGGAATGAAGCGTGAAGTGGAAAGAGAAGCTTTTGTCATCTCTGAACAGATATATATCTTCTAACATTTCACAGAGGAAATCTAGTGGCCAGACTACATCAAGGTATGATCAAGATGGCAAAAATGATTATCAGAATGAACATATAAGCTGGGACAGGTTACAGCAGTTTGCTTTTGCCTTTGCTTTACTGGAAAGAGTTAATTGAGTATAAACTACTTTTGCACTTTGTATTCAATCTGCGTCAACCGAAGTAAGCTGAGGACAAAGGGGAGAATGGAGGGCAAAGAGAGAAATTGACACATTTAAAAAGCAACTGAAAAAGTATGACCAAACCAAGATATTTGGAAGGTATGCAGGCTGGTTTCCCATTTTCCAGAAATCTTAGCAAGGCCAAATTTGTCTGTCATATCTGATATATACTCATGTATAAGCTGACCACTTGTATAAGCTGACAGATTTTAGGTCCAAAAATAACTGATGAATGGACTGACCTGGGTGAATGAACTAGGCCATTTTACTTAGAAAAGCTATGAATGCATTAAAATAGGAATGGTAAGGTACAGTACTCACATAGGATCCTTTGCTTATGCATAATAGGAAAGATAGTGCACTACTTGGGAACCATTGTGTAACCAAGTGATGCAACTAGATTTACCAGCTCTCAGGACCTGACCTGCCATGCCCACTTTGTAGGAAGAGAAGGAATCTCAAGAAAAGAGAATGATGTCATTGCAGATTGTTTCTTGTAATGGTAACCTTGTAACAACCCTGTGACATTACAAATACAATAAGAACTCCATATCCACAGAAATAGGTTCCAAGCTGAACCGTGGTTCCCTGAAACGGCAGATATGTTTGAACGCCACTAAATAACATGACTTCCAGTTCCACTATAGTTGCATTGAAGGACCTACAGATTCTTAGAGAAAATATCTTTACTAGGTCTTCTAAGGCAACTTTATATAAAACTTTTGGGAGAACAATATCATACCTTTGCCCGGAAGACCTAGCAAATTCCTAGTGATACCATTTTTCCCTTGGGTGTGGGTAGGTGAAACTGCAGGTATGGGTTCTCCCTTATCTGCATCAACTGAAGTAAGCTGAGGACAAAGTCTTATTGCAGTGCACTTGCAAGGCATCTGGGTTCAGAGCTGGAGTTATGAACCTTGTGCACTCTGGTCTGTCCATATACTAACATTTATGTTGTAATATAGTGTTTGTTTTCAGTGCTCAAGAGTTCTGGTCTGGT